TTTTTCGATATTTTTGTCCCGCGCGAAGCGCGGGTACTTGCCTACTCTAGAAAAATAAAGAAAGGATTATGTCTAGTAAAACCGGGAATTTGTTTTTGCAAAAATTATTTTTCTGAATTTTAATCAAAAAAATTACCGTGTAAAAATCTAAATTATTAGTATTCCGAACGACGAACGTGTAGAACATGTTATAATTAAGGCGTTTATTTTTTTGGGTTAAATTGTAAATATTTCATTAGAATGAAAATGTTTTAAGTATACAAACCAAATTGTAAATCTATAGAATGATCCTATGACGAAAAAAAAAAGAAAAATTTAGAAGCATAATTCATTAAAATTTTCGGTCCGTCCGCTCCACATACAATTAAGGCGTTTATAATCCCGTTAAATATAAAATGTTATCTCGACCTGGTATATGTCCATGAATTTTCAGGCACGGGATTTCCAGACGACAAGAAGACAATGCGTGTGACAAATGGACGAATAGGAGCAAAAAGCTTACACCAATAAAACCAAAAGCCTTATCAAAACCAAAGTTATAGACTTATAATACCAATAATATAACCTCGTCATCAATGTAAACCTATCAAATATAAATAAACATTACATTTTCTTTGGTGACACATTGTAGAAGGATGGTATGAAACACATTATCATATTCGATATTAATATGTAATCATACCCAACGAAAGTGACCGCAAATCTTCTATAATCCGTCCGTACAACGATACTTATTTTATCCTCTTTGACTTTGATAAGCTTCGTAATAGTTTAAAGTACAATAATATCGAAGTTCACAAAACATTAAAAGAGTTAATTAACTAGAAAACAATAGATTGTAGAGTAATGAATAGATTGTATATTGTTTTTGTATTGTAAATTACGTATACAACTATCAAAAAGCTTTAAAATTATCGTATATTGTTTTTGTATTGTAAATTACGTATACAACTATCAAGAAATTTGTTCTAATATTTTTTATTTGGCCAGTCAAACTGGTACTACGTTTTAAGTCCATTAAAAAATTTGGTGAGTGGATTATGCGACGACGGCTAAACACGTTTTGAGAGATTAATCGAGTGATAAAAACCTGGACCATCTCTGGTTTTAAAAAAATAATAAAAAATTGTTTTGTTTCCCATATGAAAATATAAACTGGCTCAAGATGAGTGGATCTATAACAACATTTATCTTTACGGACACATGCTAACATTTTTATATTGAAATTGATAGTAGTAAAATAAAATTTAATATAAAATAAAGAACGCACAATATATATTTTTTTTTTATAAACCGTGGGAGTTCCTAATCTTGGTTCATAATCTAATCGGTATCCGGATGCAGTGTTTAAATATTTTGATTTAAAGAATATTCCGATGAGATTATGTTGGGTCTTGGGAATGATAAGTGGCATGATGCACACATTATAATGTTTTACGCAAATTTTTTAAAATTCCAGATATCATTATTTTCCAAAATCAGAGAAATTCATGGGTGTGAATTGCTATATATGATGATGGAGTAAATAGAGGGAATTGGGATAAAAAGAAATGAAAAAGAGAAGAAAAAAAAATGAAATTAGTTATTACTAACACTTTTTTCCTATAAATTGTTTGCTAAATAGTAAATATCATTAATCATGAAATATTTAGGAATACAAATTAGCATTTTCTACAATCATAGTAACACTCCTATAGATGATTGTGGTATATTTTCTTCCCTTTGCTTTTGACTTTTTTTAAGTTGAAGCTGGCTGAAAATTTTGAATGGTAAAAATATAGAGTAAACGAGAGAAAATATTAGTATTATTTTTTTTGGTCGGCAAAGAAACATTTCATTAAAACACCAAAATGTACATCAAGCTTAACAAGCACTAGATTCTCACCCGCACTTTGTGCGGGAATATTCGTTTTATATGTTGTAAACTATACTTAGCTTTCGTATTGTGTCGTATATAATATGTTCTAAGATGAGATATGTATTGTTTTAGTTTGTAAGTAAAATCGATTAGTTTGAAAAAGTATGATGATTTTTTTTAGTTTCAGGTAGAGAATAAGTATATTAAGTACTGAATTTTATAATGAATAGTCATTGGAGTTAGTATACATAAATTATAATATTTAGTTTTGTGCATGTACGTAAGTCTGTCGTATCAATTATTTAGTTTTGTGCATATACATATATCTATCGTATTTACTTATTGAATAATTTGAATATCTAAAATATGTTATCTTAATTTAACTATTTTATGAATGATCTTACCTTGCAT